TGTTTATATGCTCTTGGAACCCTTGTCTGCTGTTTATATGCTCTTGGAACCTTTGTCTGCTGTTTATATGCTCTTGGAACCCTTGTCTGCTGTTTATAAACTCTTGGAACCCTTGTCTGCTGTTTATATACTCCTCGAACCCTTGTCTGCTGTTTATATACTCTTGAAACCCTTGTCTGCTGTTTATATACTCTTGGAACCCTTGTCTGCTGTTTATATACTCTTGGAACCCTTGTCTGCTGTTTATATACTCTTGGAACCCTTGCTGCTGTTTATATGCTCTTGGAATCCTTGTCTACTGTTTATATGCTCTTGGAACCCTTGTCTACTGTTTATATGCTCTTGGAACCCTTGTCTACTGTTTATATACTCTTGGAACCCTTGTCTACTGTTTATATGCTCTTGGAACCCTTGTCTACTGTTTATATACTCTTGGAACCCTTGTCTACTATTTATATGCTCTTGGAACCCTTGTCTACTGTTTATATACTCTTGGAACCCTTGTCTGCTGTTTATATGCTCTTGGAACCCTTGTCTACTGTTTATATACTCTTGGAACCCTTGTCTGCTGTTTATATACTCTTGGAACCCTTGTCTGCTGTTTATATGCTCTTGGAACCCTTGTCTGCTGTTTATATGCTCTTGGAACCCTTGTCTACTGTTTATATGCTCTTGGAACCCTTGTCTGCTGTTTATATGCTCTTGGAACCTCTTGTCTGCTGTTTATATGCTCTTGGAACCCTTGTCTGCTGTTTATATGCTCTTGGAACCCTTGTCTGCTGTTTATATGCTCTTGGAACCCTTGTCTGCTGTTTATATGCTCTTGGAACCCTTGTCTACTGTTTATATGCTCTTGGAACCCTTGTCTACTGTTTATATGCTCTTGGAACCCTTGTCTGCTGTTTATATGCTCTTGGAACCCTTGTCTGCTGTTTATATGCTCTTGGAACCCTTGTCTGCTGTTTATATGCTCTTGGAACCCTTGTCTACTGTTTATATGCTCTTGGAACCCTTGTCTGCTGTTTATATGCTCTTGGAACCCTTGTCTACTGTTTATATGCTCTTGGAACCTTGTCTGCTGTTTATATGCTCTTGGAACCTTGTCTACTGTTTATTGCTCTTGGAACTTTGTCTGCTGTTTATATGCTCTTGGAACCTTGTTACTGTTTATGCTCTTGGAACCTGTCTGCTTTATTATGCTCTTGGAACCTTGTCTCTTTTATATACTCTTGAACCCTTGTCTGCTGTTTATATGCTCTTGGAACCCTTGTCTGACTGATTTATATGCTTTGGAACCCTTGTCTCTGTTTATATACTCTTGGAACCCTTGTCTGTTTATATGCTCTTGGAACCTTGTCGTGTTTATATGCTCTTGGAACCTTGTCTGCTGTTTATGTCTCTTGGAACCTTGTCTACTGTTTATTACTCTTGGAACCCTTGTCTACTGTTTATATACTCTTGGAACCCTTGTCTTATTTATATGCTCTTGGAACCTTGTCTACTGTTTATACTCTTGGAACCCTGGTCTACTTTTATATGCTCTTGGAACCCTTGTCTACTGTTTATATACTCTTGGAACCCTGTCTGCTGTTTAATGCTCTTGGAACCTTGTTGCTGTTTATTGCTCTTGGAACCATTGTCTGCTGTTTATTGCTCTTGGAACCTTGTCTACTGTTTATATACTCTTGGAACCCTTGTCTACTGTTTATTACTCTGGAACCCTTGTCTAGCTATTTATATGCTCTGGAACCCTTGTCTACTGTTTATATACTCTTGGAACCTCTGGTCTCTATTTATATGTCTTGGAACCCTTGTCTATGTTTATATACTCTGGAACCTTGTCTGTGTTTATATGCTCTTGGAACTTGTCTGCTGTATATCTCTTGGAACATTGTCTAGCTGTTTAATGTCTTGGAACCTTGTCTGTCTGTTTATATGCTCTTGTGCAACCTTGTCTGCTGTATATACTCTTGGAACCCTTTCTGCTGTTTATATGCTCTTGGATACCTTGTCTCGCTGTTTATATGTCTGGCCCTTGTCTGTATCCAACCAGTACCTAATATCTTTGTATCTAAATCTTTCCAACTTAATAGTCAGTTTGTCTTGTAATTATTCCCACGTTCTTTATATTCTTATTTATTCCTAGTCTGTCCTTATAATTTATCAGTTCCCTATTCTAGCCTTTCCAGGATGATTCAGTCTCTTTAGTCTGTCCTCGTAGGATAGTCAGTGCCCTCAGTCTGTCCTCGTAGGATAGTCAGTGTCCTCAGTCTGTCCTCGTAGGATAGTCAGTGTCCTTAGTGTGTCCTCGTAGGATAGTCAGTGTCCTAGTTGTCTCGTAGGATAGTCAGTGCCTCAGTCTGTCCGTAGGATAGTCAGTGCCCTCAGTCTGTCCTCGTAGGATAGTCAGTGCCTCAGTCTGTCATAGGTAGATAGTCAGTGTCCTCAGTCTGTCCGTAGGATAGTCAGTGTCCTTAGTCTGTCTCTAGGATAGTCAGTG